CTCGGGATCGATCCAGCTTGAAAAACCACCTGTTCCTAGCAAACATCTCCTAAGCATCGCTGCGTGTAAGCTCCATAATTATTACTTATCTCGAACCCGTGCAATACCTAAAATTATTCGGTCACGTCCTTAAGAATCGCGTTTCAGCGTACATAAAGCCCCGATGACTGTACGAGCCGACAGAAGCTCGTTAAACTCGGGGGCGGGGACGGGGTCAATCGTTCTCCTTGTTAGCCAAATTGGATAACGAGTCTTTCGCGTCGAATAATTGGCCGGTTCGTGCGCCGAGTCGCATCGCTACGCCGCGAGTAAAGACAAATCAATTCGACGACGCGAACGCGGACCTGCTTGCGCGGTGTCATCATCGCCACGTGTTATGTTTGCTCTGTCATCCTATTCCCAAGATGTTTCTCAGCCGTTTTTACATCGCGATACACTCGGGACAGGCTACCATTTATACGACACACTTTTTTCAAGTGGCAGAGATTTACGCAACGGTGACAACGGTGATTTTTCAGCGATTAGAAGTTCATTGAAATTATAAAAAGAAAAGCATTATATTTATTCTCGACGAGTGATCGAATGTAAAGGCTGTTTAAGGAACGAGTAAAAGTAGGAAGGATTCCAGTCCGAAGATCGATAAAGAAATTGTTCACCGTCGAGAAGCGTGAAACTTTTTAGACCATGTGCTTTCGTACCGTAGCGCGTGTTGCGCACACGTCGGAGAACAACGTCCACGCGACCGAGTAAACACGATCGTTCCACTATGATGCGTGTATCGACGCTCTAGCCGCCGCAATCAGGTTTTTCTTGGGCTAGGTTAGGCACTATCGTCTGACATCAACGATGTTTACTACTCCGTCTCTATTCTTGCACGCTTGCTGCTGGCGAGGGGCGAGCTTGCGTGTGCACGTGATCTGTGCTCGTGTGCGAGCCCGTGGGAGGCGATAAGAGCCCAAGTTCCCTCTGTAGTCGATGGGCGTTTCGTTGTATTTCGGGAACAGTGGGTTCTTTCAACTCGAAGCAACTAGTCTTCTGGTTTCATACCATCGCGGCCCGTGTTTCACGTCTAGTCTAGGAATCGATCGGCGGAAAGTGAGGGAACGCGTACAGAGGAACGTTACAGCCCAGACCATACAGCTGTAATTTATAAAAATCCATTTTATTGTATTCAAGGACGATTCTCTTCGGTGACGATTTTTTGTTGTTGTTATTACACGATTATTCTTTTTATTATCGACAGTAATTAAAATTATAAAAAACTAAACGTCCACGTACCTGGTCAAGGGCACGAAGAGGTTAATTAGGTTAACATAATGGGTTACAACAAGTTAATATAAACAAGAATTAGTAGAATAATATGTGTAACGTATTCTGAAGTTGGAATGAATTTTATTTGGAATTTGGCCGCGTGCCGTACATTTGCCACTCCCTCATCAAGAGTAGATAAGTAGCAATGGAATATTTCCAACGATACCTCCATCTCTATTTTCTCGATCGCACAGTGTAGCACGATAATTCCTTTCCAGTGGAAGGTCAGTGCGCGTACAGCTCGAGAGAGGCGCGCGGTTGCACACAATGATGTTATCCGCGAGATAATTAGGAGAGCCGTGTTTAGCTGGCACCGCGAGGCGTCGATAAGTAATCTTGCCAGGCGCCGGTAATAATAATTCCCGTCGTCCCAAAAAAACGGCTTCCAACGGCTGTTTCTTAATGAGACAGCGACGTTGCCTCGGTCACTCGTTCCCTCGAGCACCACCCGCCTGAACGCGGTGCTTCCTAACAGGTGCGACGAGCGTGTGTGTTCATTGTGATTTTTTTTTTTTAAATGCGCGGTCGATCTGCACACAGCCGTTCAAGTGTTTCTACACATATATATTGTTTAGAAAGTAAGGCTTAATCAGATTAACGCGGTGTTGGAATTCGCGGTGCAACGCGGTTGCATAACTTTAAAAAAAAAAAAAAAAGGAACGTGTAAGGAAAGGATTTATGTTTTACGCTCGATCTTATTATGCATTAAATTCCACGTATAGAATTTCAATTCATTTCAGTTCCTGACGTTGCGTCGACGATTGCAGCGTTTAACCCTTTTCTTATTTCAGTACAATTCTGTCGAGTCTCACTCCGCATAGGACAGCAAAGGTTTAATTTTGCATCCTCTCTTAGAAAAGCCTTGCCAGCGGTCTTAAACTCCAGAATATACTCGCATGGTTAGTAGATCGTGTCTATCAGTAGATTGTGACCGTAACGGTCAGACAACACCTCAGGCGACGCATTCCAATGAAACCTCTATTGTAAATAGCGCATCCTTTAATCAAAGGATGAAATGCTCAGAGCGACAGTTCTGAATATTCTAGAAAATTCGAATAACGTGATGTGAAAAAAAAAAAAACGGTTGAGAGGCACTGGCAATGAACACACGTACTAGCATATGCGCACGCTTTTCCCCGGTGAACGCGTGTGCCGGGACACAGCGCGAGGGAGAAAACTGAGAACGGTGTCGGTAGTGCAGTAAACTCGTGCCGTCGGATAAATATACGATATTATGTAAGTTGTTTTGCGAGCCAGGGAACGCCAGAGAGGAGAGCATCGAAGAAGCCGGTCTCTTCGGATCTAGCCGGTTTTCTCGCGCACTTTCCTCGCGGAATTTTCCTCAAATCCGTCGACAATATTCTCATTGAAATATCATACGATGAAAAATAGAAGAATTTCAAGTGCATAATATCTTCAAAGGCGTATCAGCGTTGCGTAATCTACGGCCACTGGCGTGACAGAGCGGGATCGTTCAGGTTCTCTTTCTGGGAGAGTAGGTTTCTCGCACGATCTCGGAGCCGTTGCGTCCAAAATGGACCTACAGCGTTTTACGTGTTTCTGGTCATGCTGCTACTACGTATCGTTGCGTAATCGCGCACCGGTGAGTCGGATTCGCGATTATGTAACGCGTGATGACTTTTTGCTGAAACCGCAGGCTATCCCAGCAATACTCGAAGGCGCTGGCAATTGGAAACTGGTCTTTGGAATCGATTAATTTCGTGCATAATCGTTCGCTGTTTCGCCGATCCGCAATAACTTACGTCCTCGACGCGCGTGTCACGTACGCGGACGATTACCGATGCGATTGAGACAGAGTTGGAATCTTAAAATTAATCCTCTCTTTCTTCCACTTACCGTGGTTTTCTGTCAATTATTCTTTTCTTGCAAAGACCTCTCCTTGTCTTTCCATTTGCTATTTTTGTTTATATTCGTGCCACGAGATTGTCCCGATAGTGGAAAAGAGCTGGAATTAATCTCAGCCGCTGGAATCACCTTGCGTAGCTAGTACACGGACTCCAGTAGATTCAGGCCGTAATCGCCGGACAATACCTCAGGCGGTGCATCTCAATCGAGCCTGTTCTGCGCGAGCAACGGTGAATATTCCAATTAAAGAGCGAATTGCAACGCTGTTTTTCAAAGCAGAGGAACATACAAAAAAAAAAAACGTTGATAACGTAAACATTCTATACGATTCTATTATTTACTAAAAATACCTCGCACGAGCATCTCCCGATCGCTCTGGTACGCTTTCCCGCTGCTCGTCCCGTGACAAGTCCTAGAAGGCCAAATCCGTTCCGGGTGTCAGCGATCGCGTCGACAATGAGGATTAATTTTCAATCGATCCCACGTCACGGTTCTCTCTTTTTACCGGCAAAAATTGTCTCACAGCGACGCGTGACGTCTCTTTTTCCAGAAGCAGGCGCGCCAGGTGGCCGCTAATCGTTGTTTCATACAATTTCTCTCCCTTTCATCGAGTGAGAACGGGAAGACCCGTCCCAACTGGGCCTGCTATTTCGCCACATTGTCCAGGGACAAAAGGAAGGAAGGCGTGCCACGCGTCCTTTGGGTAGACGTCGTTTTCGGGGCTCCGTTTCCGTCGAGATTTCCAGGTCGCAACGGTAACGGTCTTGATCGACAGCTGCTAATGCATTATTATTATCAATTGTTATCAAAGTATAATAGGGTGCGATATATGTACTTGTAAAGCTAGAAATGCGTAGCTCTTGTTTTCCACTGTTCCATCCGCGTACAAAATTTATATTAAAATTGAGCGACGCGTTTCTTGTCAGGGATGGTTCAGACCACCCCCGTTGATTGTGCTACGATATGCCTCGATTCTAGGGAAAAAGGCGCGAGACCAGGGAGCAAGAATGGAAAGAGAAAACTGTCTCGTTCCCTTTTTTGGAATAATATCGACAGGTTGAAAGCGATCCTCGGGAGTCGGTGGATTTCCACGGTCGAAGAGCGCGCAACGTGAACTTTCACGCAATTTCTCACTCGTGCAGGTCACGTATGTAGCGCGAGCGAATACGTCAGCACGCTGATTTAACCCCCCTCGGCTTGTCGGTGGGCCGAGGTATCTCATAAATATGATAGGAACCGGGCTTTTCGAGGATACCTCGAACGACGAGGTACGCGTGTTCCTTTTTTCGTTATTCCGTTCAGGACACACGGAGGATTTCTCCTGGAGTAGACCTCCGCTTGTATTCTAGCTGACCCCTGAAATCTCTCCTCGACCGAGCAAATTGTTTCTTCGATTGCGGAATGAGGATTGGCTCCGTTCGACGTTCCCCTTTTTCCTTGGAAGGGAAACTAACTTTGTCCCTTACGGAACAGTGCGCCAGCGACCAGTCGAGATCATCTTTCGTGCCAAAAGTGAAAAGTACGCTATCGTGATACGCCAATGTACAATCTAATTACCGTACCGCCTCGCTTTTTGAACACATCCGCGTTAGAGATACTCCAATTACAATCGTTTCTCTATATAAAGTCAGTCCCATAAGTATTCGTGCCATTTATGTCTACTGGACACGAATAAACTGTACACATGTATATTTATGTTAAATTTATTTGAAAATATCACATTCATCATTTAATTTATCATTTAATTTAAGGACTGACTGTATGTTTGGAAAAGTCGATGTAAAATTATCGTGGAAGTAGTCCATGAATAATCGAGCATGATAAAAATTGCGACAATATTTACTATTCTGCAAATTCGAAGGCTAACACACGGTCGTTACTTTCATGCCTATAAACACTTGTAGATTCCAAGGATTCCAACACTTTAATGCACGCAGTGACTAGAGATTGAGTTGGTTACTACGACTAGTACAATGCTACATTAAATTGAGAATGCGATGGAGCTCGATAATTTCATGCAGTTACGCAATCTTCGTATTTGAGGCACGTGAAGGAGTCCTCGTCTCTGACGTAACCATTTTCACACGTGCATCCGGCCGTACTATCGGTGCACGGCTGAAACATATTTATCCACGTCGCGGTATCAGGCGTTTTTTTCACCGGAGACTATTAAACTCAATGGTAGTTCAAAAGGGTCAACGACCCGAGTTAACATCCAACACTTACTCGTAATTTGCACATCTTAACTCTGGGGTCCTTGCAAGTCGATTCGCAAACTGGTCCACACTGTGACCAGGTCTGGTTCTTTGGGCAACAGTGTTCCTCCTCGGCAGCTGTAGAAGAAAAGGTTTTATTAGCCAAGTTGGAGATTACGCGTAAATTTGTGCTTGTCGAACTAAAAATTTGCACTGAACCGTCCCTAGTATCTAGCAACATTTTTTTTTACTCCCGTTTCGACCCATATGTTGCGCGATAGACTACGGATACGCGATGTCGCATGACGCACAGGTCGAGACATTGATCTCTGATGTGTTAAAGAGCAAAGTTTATCACTGTAAAGTACCTCCTACGTAACGGATAGCTCAACGAAGACTCACCAGCAAGAACCATCGCTGTTAAGAGCACAATGGCGACGATGTATGGAGACATGGTTGATTCCTCGATGCCTCTCGCGTTCAGTTCTGTTCGCGTCGAGTCCACTTTCGTTTCTGACGACGACGTGTTCAATAGTGCCGCTTTTAATTTGTCAAGATAGCTATTAATCATCCACGGTCGTTTGCGTAATGTGTTTGAGAATACATCGTGGCAAACTACCGATAGCTTTAAATTCAACGTTGACAATAGACTCAACTGTATACACAACCTAACAATAGAGTCACTGTATACACAAACTAACGAGCCTGGATTTCCGTTTATTTTAGCCTTGCGTTGTTCTTCGAAATGATAAACGAGGATAATTATTTGTTTCGCCCAAGATGAAAGATTTTTGTTGGACTTCGAGAGGGAATAATTTAACTTGCAAACATATTTATTACTATCTCTATTATTGTTAACACCGGGACGTTAAATTGGCAACTGTTCGAGGTAGCTTAGGGGTGAAGTACTGGTGCGTTCGCTGACGTCGATGCACATACCATTGGCCTTTGTTTCCGACGAAACCATCGTTGCACCTACAATCCTCCTTATTTGATTGGCATTGTGGCCGTAACGAATACATTGTCATGAAATCACACATTTTATGCCTAAAAAGGGCTTGATTATCTAGTTCTAATTCCAAACACTCACGTAGAGCGAGCAGAGGACACAACAGGTATCTCGCAACTCGACTTGCAAACTCGTCCACACTCGTTTCAGGTTTGATTAAAACTAGACATCTCTGATTTCCTTGAATTATCGTGGAAAATAAAGTCGTGTTAGTAGTTCAAATTAGGGTCGGACAGAGTTCACCAATGTACTTTGGTAATAATGGATAGTTCGATGAGAATTTACCAGCAAGGACCATGGCGGTCAAGGAGCGCAACAACGACGATATAGTCAAACACGATTGGTTCTTCGATGCTGTTCAAGTGTCCTCCTGTTCGTCTCCACTGTACTTCGGTTTCTGCCGAAGATGCCCTCACCAGTCCTCTTTTTTATCTGCCAGATAAATTAGCTGAGCCAGAATTAGCGACAATTATGTACATAATGTTTCTGCGAATGACTCACGGTAGATTATCGAATACTGCACGTGCAAACGCGAGTAGCGTACATGCAACTTCATCCTTTAGCTGCGGGGAATGGTGATGGTAATTCACTTCTGAGAAGTTGAACATTTACATTACGATAAATAATATTTAAATACGCACGTTAGGCAACAATCCTGCAAATGTATATATGATTTATTCTAACCTTTCTATCTTTTCTACATTCATGTTTCAGGATATTACGTCGATGTGCAATCAAGCAACAATGATCAAGCGTGTTTGAGAAAGAGAATAACCACATTTCGTTTCCAAGATTATATTTATTTTTTTCGACCGTCGATGTAACATTATCTCAAATTTGTAATTACGTAAAGGAGCTTAACATTTTCCTGAATTCGTACAGTCCTGTACTTTGATGCACATGCGGGAGCTCTTGTCTCTGACGAAGTCATCTTTACAGGTGCAACCGGCTGCACTTGCTGGGCACGGTTCCTGCAACGAAAGAGACTCGCTAGTGTCGTGAAATTGTGAATTTTCATATAATGGGAAAAAAAGATTATTTAAAGTTTCCAGCACTCACGACTACGGAGCAATAAATTTTTTCTGGCCTCTCGCAGGTCGGTTCGCAAACTGGCCCGCAGTCTGACCAGGTCTGATTAGCTGGGCAAAAATCTTTCAGCGAAGCAGCTGGACGAAAAAAAAAAGTACGTTAGACGTTTACAAACTCGAGAAAACAGAGTTCAAAATGGAATTGTGTCGTAGCGTTAGAGTTTTTGTAAGTCTTAGAGTTCTTCTTAGAGTTTTGTCGTAAGTCAAACTTGCGACGATGGTATTTCTTCGTGGACCAACGTATATTACTATTAGAATTTAATTCGTTTAAATATAAGCTTCAGACGTAAGAGCAAATTAGAATATTTTTCTTTGCCGCTAATCGTGCCAATAGATGGTCTAATAGAGACTCACCGTGATGAACCACCGCAATTAGTAGCACAAAGGCGATTGCGTAGAGTGACATTATTCGTTCTCTACTACCGATCACTTCGATTCACTTGTTCCTGATGCGCTCTCGTTTCTGACGAGAAAGCGTTCATCAGTCGCGCTTTTAATCTACCAAGGTAGTAATAAATCACTCGGAGTTGTTTGCGCAAGTTTATTTTTTTGCAAATAATTTATGGCAAATTGTTGAACGGTTCTATGTTTGATCAATCGAACCAACACACGGTTAGATCCGCAATATCACATACATTAATAACGAATCTGCTTCTTCTTCTTGTTTTATTGTCGTTCTCCGAGGCCGTGGATAACGATAATTATTTCATCCGTGCAAGGTTCAGCGTTTACACTAGACTTGAGTAATGCAACTGAACTCGGAGCTGCTTTATCGAACTAAAAACATTCGAGGTTCCCACGGAAATAGTAAAACCACGTGCGGGAAAGTTTAGAGCTATGAAATTTCACTCCCATCGGTCGACAAGTGTCGCGAGGCGTTACTACGCGACGCTTATCGATGATTTTGTTCACGCACAATTTTTTTTTATGTCAGGAGGTAGATCGTCTTACAAACAGCATTTATTGTTACTGCTACTGGTACAGTGCTACATCAAATTCGATATTGTGTCATATACTCTTTTTTTTTAGATCTATGGACATGAACCCCAGGACATACAGAGGTATGGAAATTCAGTGTCTCTAACTTGCTGATAAATGCATCAACAACCAGGTTGAATATCAGGATTGTCGATGCAGTCCTATAACAGATTAGTGGATATCATACGTCCCGTATTATGGACATTTTTAACGTTTAAAGGGGCAAACAAATGTGTATTCAATAAAAATAAAAAAAAAAAAAAAACAATAATTAGGCACTTACCTTTTGCGAGCAGTTTCTCGTATCGGTACAGTAAGTTCCGCAGATGTGCCAGGCCGTCATACCTGGGATGCACTTATCGACGCTCCAATCGTAATCGAAACTGTCACTGCCTTCATTCATGACGTATGGGTTACCCTGTAAACGGACAGCTGCACGAAGAAAAATAATGCATTGAAGTAATCAAAAAGTCGAAAAAAAAAATACAAAAGAGAATGTACTTTAATGTTCAAAATAATAGACTCAATGGCAACTTACCAGTGAACATCATCGCAATTAGGAGCACAATGTTAACGATATAGCCAGACATGTTTGGTGTTAGGTTCGTTCCACTCGTTTCTAATACACTTTCATTTCTGGCGAGGTAACATTCGGCTGAGCCTTTTTATTTACCCGTGTTAGCCGTTAACGAGTCGCATTTATTTTACAAATAATTTGTGGTCAATCAACAAACGTTTAAAATTAAACGACGGTTTAAAATTATCGCCGCCTTTCGAGGCTGCGATAATCATTTCTTTCGCGCAAGGTTACGCGTCTACTCTCGAGGAGTAATTTAATTGCACATCTTTACACGCCACATACTTTCCCTTTCGGTCAATTGAAATTAATCAGGAAATCGATGCTCGCTCGTGTCGTCAGTTTTTAATAAACCTTCGTTTCCGATGTTAAAAGCTTTCAGCAGTTTCGCTGTTAATCTAGCAAGGTCGCAGTAAAGTTGTTGTTTCTTCGATGTATTCGCAAATAATTTATGAGGAATTATTGGAACGATTGAGTAACATGCACTCTCCTTTTTTAGTTTACAGTGACTTGTGTCGCTTTCGGAGGTCGTTAAAAGACGTTAATTATTTTTCGCGAGCCAAATCAAACACTTACACCAAGAACGTCGAACGTAACTGAGTGAAAACGTGGGAAAGCGAAATTAAGCGAAATTATGCGAGAAAAAAAAGAATAAACTTTGATCCAGTCACTGGAAATTAAATCAGCACACTATTTATTCAATAACTGCTACTATTAACAATACAGCACTACGTTGAAGCCAAGAATTATGTAAGATAGCTAATTATTTTTGTTTTGGGCAACATTCGAGTTTTATACACTCTCCGGACTTATCGTCTCTGACGAAACCGCTGTCGCACCTGCAAGCTGCGATGGATGGGCTGCATGCCTGGAACAGATTCGCGTGTATCGTTAAATTGTTAATTTTTACCTTGCAGAAGTCGGCATCGGTGTAGAAAGAGCTAATTAGTTCAAGTAAGTTTCAACTACTTACAATGTCTGGGCAAATTTTTGGATCTGGGTTACTGCACAGTGGTTCGCAAATTCTTCCGCAGTTTGACCAGCTTGAATTCATAGGACAACACTTGGGTTCTGACTTGAGTTCTTCTTTCTTCATGTGTACGGCTGTGCAGAAGAAAATGGCATAAGTGGTGTCCATTTAGATAGACGATGATAATCGTTCAAAATGTATTGTTGCAAGCAATCTAAGAAGCTCGATGCAATTCATGAATATAGTATTATTGCAGAGCTGTATTAGTTTAAAGTGCAAAATATGTTACTTTGAAAGAATTCTTACCAGGAAGAACCACCGCCATAATTAGCGCAATGGCGACGACGTATCGAGCCATGGTTGGCTCTTCTTCGCTTAAGTTACACTTATTTCGAATAAACTTTCGTTTCTGACCAGAGAGCGTCCAGTAGTTCTGCTTTTATTTTACAAAGATCCTCATAAATTATTCGATGTCGATCGCGCAAGGTTCTTGTAAATAATTTATGGAGACTTATATTGAAACAATTGAGCAACATATGAGTACAGTGTGCGCGCAGAAGTAGGAAGCCAGCTATTCTTCTTTTTAATTCACGGTGCCTCGTGTCGTTCTTCAAGGTCGAGTGCGACGATAATTATCTCTTTTGTATAAGAGTATAAAAAGCGGAAGCATCTCGTCAGAAGATACAGTTTATTCGACACCAGCACGAAACAAGTACCGAGGAACCATGTCTAAATACATCGTCGCCCTTATGGTCTTGTCTGCTGTGGTTTTCACTGGTAAATGTATAAGACAGGTTTTTTTAAAATCTTCGACATTTGCTCTTCAACTCTCTATTACATAATTGTAACACACGAGTAGTTTTTTTCTTTCTGGAAGGATAAGAAAAAACAAATAATAATACTCTCAACTTACATGAAAGTTCTGATAGTGCTGGAAACAGTAAATTTTTGAAAACGATTCCATCCTGGTATTTTTACTAAAGGTATTGTTAACGTAAGGTTTCTTTGTACAGCCACTCAGGCGAAAGAATCTTGCCAGCATAAAGAAACCTGGTCACTTTGTGGAACAATGTGCGAACCATCGTGCAAGGACCCCAATCCTAACCCCATGTTTTGCCCAGGAATTGTAAGTGTTCGAAATTCGCTAAATAAGTAACCCTTTCTCTAAAAACGAACGATTTCTCACACTTTACTAACGAATCTGTTCTAGGCGTGCACTATGTTAACTTCCAGTTGTAGGTGTGAAAAAGGATTGGTCAGGAACCACAAGACTTCTAAGTGTGTCGAACTTAAGGACTGCTAACTCAAGTATATTGTGAAATATTTTATGTTCTGGCACAAATAGTTCTATTACTTCATGTAGCAATGCACCAATATCAATCGCAATAAATATCTAACACGTTTCAAGATTTAAACGTTAAGAAATTCATCTGGTCCTTCATCGAATTAAGGATGAATGGAACGTAAATTAAGGAATGTAAGGATGTTTAAAAATGCTATTGGGAAATCACGTGATGACGAACGTGGAATCCTCGAGCGATTGTTTCAGCAAACGATTCGTGGCAAATAATCGAACGTTTAAAATTGAACCTTGACAATGGAGCAGCATGCTCGCGCGAATAATAATGTATCAGCTTCTCTTCATCTTCTCGTTGCACTGCCTCGTATTATTTTCAGAAGAATCCATAAATATGGAGATAATTACACTCTTTATAGCTGCAGCCTTGCGAGAGCGTAAATAAAAAGTCAAGATAATGCTTTGTTTTTACGAAATGGTTATCAAGGATAGAGTTGAATCTTGCGTGTAAGAATAGCACGGATGAAAACTTATTTAATAACGAAAAACGCGATACCTTCTGTTTGGTAACATAGTTATATTATAATTCCAGGGAAAAAAAATGTAGATTTTTACCGACACGATGGAAGGTAAGTTGACTTGCTTAGATAATGTTTAATGTACTATATAATAATGCAGCTCTACATTTTAACTCGAGAATAAGGTAAAGAAGCTTCCACTGATATCCTGGAGATCAGCAATCTTTTAATGGAACGCAAGAACCGTCGTCTTTTCTGTAATAGGACGTCTGACAACGGCAGGCAGCAGTATATTGGGTGCATTCCTAAAATACATTAAATCGTGAATCTTATTCCGAAGATACTTTACGCATATGGAGTAAATTTCGAACACTTACTAGTCCTGGGCAAAATTCAGGGTTCGGATTTGGGTTGCTGCAAGTTGGTTCGCACATTGTTCCACAGAGCTCCCAGATCTGGTTCACTGGGCACTTAGGCGCCGGTGTGACTCCTTCAGGGGAAAAAAGTAACGTTAGTTAGTTTTATAATTCGAGAAGGTTCATTTTAATTATTATTCATAAGTTTTTGAGCAAATTAAGAGTGCGATGCTACTAAAAAAGGTAGTCGAACCCGTACTGTCTGACTACGAGACTACCTCTAATTGAATCGAACGGTGCTTGTTACAACAATAAATTAAAGCGTCCCAACAAACATAGTTTAACATAGTTTAACATAGTTTAACATAGTTAAATATAGATTTACAATAATAAATACTCACCAGTAAAGACCATCGCGGCGATGAGCATAGTGGCGATCACGTAGGGAGACATGATTGTTTCTTCGATGCTGGTAATTCTCTTTGCTTCGAATACAATGTTGCTTCTAAAGCTAAACCTACGGTTCCCGGTTTTTATACTCTGCGCTCGTAACGAAGTTCGCGGAGGTATGTTTGCCTATCAAGATAACAGCACGCCAGTCGTATCTGTTTGCATAAAGTTTTGTGAATAATTTATGGCCTGCTATTCGATAATCTTACCCCCCAAACCTGCGTTGTTGTCAATCCAACAATGTAATTGCTATGTGCAAACACATAAATAACCAGCCAGTATCTCCTCCCTCTTCGGCTTATAACGCCATGTGTCGTTCTCTTGGGCCATAAATAGCGGACTGTTTCTTTTTTTCCGTGTAAGGTTTAAACATTTACGCTATCTCCCTTTGATAATTCGAACACCGACGGTCGATATCGTTGGTTACTTCCGAGTACGAAGCGTTTCCTTTTGGGAAAGCGAGTCGACGTTCCGTCTACGTTGCTGTCTGTCACAGATAACCAAACATCGAACACTCGAACGTCCTGTAATCTTTAAATAAATTCTAGACCAGCGAGTTGATGGCTCGAACCCTCCGTAATTTCGCGTAGGCTATGAGACGACAATTTTATCGGAGTGTCAGACATCGAATGCAACGGTTATCGACGTGGGAAGTATCCTGATACGAAAGCTGGACTTCAGGTTTCGTATCTGGGTCGACTTGCGCTCGATGCCACGAGTTGACTTCGGTGAAGTTGACGTAGCTTGTTGTCTATGCAAAGTTATGGGAGGTTCCAATCTAGACCTGCAGAAAATTCGGATGTTCCGAGTTGCTCGCGAGCCGAGTCGAGCTAAGACACAGTTTTCGATACGAGTCGAGTACTCAGAAGAAACGAGCAGCTCGAAGGAACCGAGTAGCTCGAAAGAACCGAGTAAAGGTCGATTCAGACTATACGACACAGACCGTCACGTTTCGGCAACGTGAATCCGTCTCCTCCGAGGCGCTTGCTTCGGTCCGAGCTACTCGGTTCCTTCGAACTGCTCGTTTCTTCCGAGTACTCGACTCGGACCGGGCATTCGAGCCGAGTAAAACTCGAACAGCTCTATTCCAGTCATCGTTTCGCTAGTCTCGAGTTTGTTAAAAAAATACAAAAAGGTACAAAAGTCCAAGTGTCCCAGGGTGGCTTCGGTGTTTTCAATCCCCTGGCGAGACCACCTGCGCCTCCGACGGAGACGTCTGGGACGTTTTTCCAGAAGAACACGGTTTATACTCGTTTGCGCAACCAGTTACCAATTCTGGCTGACATTGGGTCCGCGACAAAGGGATGGCAGTGTAAAATGCGTCGAATCCTTGGTTCCTTTCGCTCTTTCATCCCGCGGGAGCCAGGATTTTCGCTTCTTCTTGCGTTACTTTGTTTTTCCAAGCCAGCTGGTACGTCGCTCTTCTTTCCGATCGCGACAATGGAGCACGTGCTGCCGCGAACAAAGCTCCTCGCCTGGACCCCTCCTCGAGCCAACGGTGTAACACCCTGTATGCGTGTTCCCGTGCAACCGCGCTTTCAAAGACCCTTCTGCGGGGCACATCGATGCCTTTCGCGAACGGAATCCGTCGTTGGAACGGTGTCCTCGGTTACAGGGAGCTTGTTGCGTCCTGGTATGGCAATAAATCCTGAGTCGAAACGGTAACGGTCGACTTTCGGTCTTGTATCTGGGTCGTTCCACGCCCAGTCGATCACTTTTGCACTCGACGTCAGGCACTTGGATGAAATTGATGTATGATGTAGGCCCGTGTGAAATTACGGGAGGTCTGGGTGGTCGTTTCGTGATCGTTTTCAAACTACAGGACATCGAAGCATGCTTCCTCGTTTTCCAATCTTTTCATTTGTTACAGAGTATTCGAGTGTAATTCCATGTTCAATGTTTGTTTATCTCTACTCGTTTAAATTGAGATTTGTCCGCGTAAGATTCGTTTTGCAGCATCTTCATCTGTCCAGATGGCTTCGTTCGAACTATTTGCTCTTGTATCGTCTTCGATTCCAGCGGAGTGGCCCGTAAACAAGAATTCGGTATACAGCGCGATACCCCTGATCCCGTGAAATAATAATCGTTCCACAGGTAACGTCTGCGTCCCTGGTAATCTTCTTAACGAAGAGTCGTCCCTTCTGTTGGCCAAGGAGGGAAATGCTATTCTTCTCGGTGGATCCAATAAGCGGCTATCGGATACGCTTGTCTATTCTCCGGAGAGATGAAATTCGTGACCGAAGCACCGGTTGGCTGTTGGACGGAGCGAGACAGGAGGGCGAAAATAAGAGAGAACGCGGGGAGAAACAATCCTATTCTCCCCGAAAAGAGGTCCAGGAATCGAGGACGAGTGGCAGGTGCGTCTGTTTCTAGGATGGGAGCCTGCTGGGGACCCTTAATACGGTATTTCATCGGTCATAATGCGCCCTTCCCCCATTGCCTTTGGCCCTTTGTGCTCCACGAACGAAACTGGCGCGCGATATCGATGGCTGTATCTTCCTTAACGTCGTCTCCTCTTCCCCTACGCGCCATTGCGATCCGTGTCGTTATATCCAGCCAGAAACTACGTTGGTTACGTATTACGATTAATCATCTTATTTTCAAAAATTTGCATTTTATCACCTTCCACTCGTTATTCGAACTTTTGGACAAGAATCGATTCCGATCCAGCCCTTCCTTTTCAATTTTTGCGACACTACGAAACTTCCCCGCCGCAACACGCGTCTGCTCCTCTTGTGGTATCGCTTTATATCCTCGCGGCGGAGTCTTTGTTCTCCATGAGCGGTTCCGTCGTTTCGCCAGGGCCCCGGAATCCCTAGGGACAATGCGTTGCTGTTTCAGTAAAACGCGACTGATTATTCCAGATACGCGTACACGGGGCCGAATAATGCGCGAAGCGAACAAAGAGACGTGACACCGATGCCGCCGGAATAGCTGGCTCATTATTAACGCCTGGCCAAGTATTGTCCTCGCCTTGGTGTCCCTTTGACGCGTCTCGGCTTTGTCGCGTTTCTGCGCGTGCACGCTCTGGAAAACCGCTTTTCTCGCCTGGTAAACGTGTCGACGACTCCACGATAGCGATAACGCTACTATGGTTCGCTACTTTTTCCTAATTACCTGCGATTTGTATACTACAAAGGTAGTTACAGTACGAACTCGACAGATCTTCGTACTCTATATCCCATGAAATTAAATACTAGTATTCCGTGTATTCAACTTCACTTACTACAAAAAAAAATATTGCGAAATTCGAGACAGCATCGTTCCTTTCGGTTCCACTCGTCGATCTTTCGTTACATCTGTCTCCTCGCAGAGAGTTGCAATCGAATTCGCCAACTGTCCCCGGAAAATTGTTTTCAATTTCCAAACATTTCCCTCCGTTTTCCGAAGCGAGTCCCGTCGATTTCGTTTCGCTTTACGCGCCATCGAACGAAACGAATCGATCCGACAAAAATTTCGTCGTTGAGTCGCGGGGTGAATTTAAAAATAAAAAAAAAAAGAAAATCGCTCGGCGGAGCGGCGAGGGATGGAGGTCTCCATCGCCGAGCTCTCTCTGTTCTCGAACGGTTCTCGATTATCGGCGACGGTGTGGCGGTTCGAAAACGCCCGCGAATTTAATGTACCGTGACAGAAATATTGCGATCAATGTGTGCGGCGGTCTTTGTGGTGGCCTACCGTGCAAGAAAGTTTCTTCTCTTCTTCCTTCACCGGCTTACCAGCCCTTTTTGCTTCCCAGCCCATTAACCGTAACTCGTGGGAGGGACCTTTGCCTCTCGCGCCATGAAAAACACGCG